TCTGTTAAAAATCTCATGTTCTGGGATGGTTGCTGGCTGCTGGTCTGGGTGGCTGCAAAACAAACTTGGTTCGCAGTCATATTGAATAAATGGCTAAGAGAATTCTTACCCCAAAATACATTTCTGTGGCCTGAAATGGTCATAGCTAACGAGAGTAACATCAAATAAAAAATGAAGATATTTAGTGTTGAATTTAGACCCTGTAGCTGGGGAGAAAAGTCAGATGGTGGGTGAGTCCCATAAGACCAAGAGGGTGGCAAACAAAATGACCTGCTCTCTAGTTCCCCTGGACTAAACTACTTCTTGAGGGAGTTATAATGTGACTAAATAAGCACATGAAAAGGACTCCCAGGACTAACAGATGCACAAAGGGCAGAATATCCTCTAGCTCAATAGAGCACACTGCTGAAAGACGTGAGAGAGCCATGTTCAGAGCCTCTCCCCCCATCAGGTGGAGAGGGAAGTGAACCTGGGTCTCTGACCTCCCCAGTGAGTGATCTCCTGGGCTAAAAGTTATAAGATGGGTAAAGGCACTATGTCCTTCTCCATTCACATTTGAAGGGGTTACCATAGGTGGGTGGCCTCTGAGCACCAGTATCAAATCAAACTCCAGGTATGAGATATGGTTCACCCTGGAGTTAGGTGAGCGATTAGGTGTCTGGACAGCTCAAGTGAGGCAGTGGTGGATCAGCCTGGAAGCAGAAACATAGGCATTTAAGGAACTTTTACAATAGGAATGTGGGTGTGGAGGGAGTTCAGTCACCAGCAAGATTAGGTAGCAGCTACGCAGGGGTTTGTGGATTGCAAGGGTGCCTAAAACTAGGACTTAGGTGCCTAAATATCTTTGTGAATCTGGACCACTGTTCTTTTGCAAGTAAGGCAATGCCCCGAGTGTTGGATGTGCAGAACCATGTCATCTGAAGAAGTGGGCTGTGCCCACGAAAGCTCATGATATCATCTACATGTTTTGTTAGTCTTTAAAGTGCTACCAGACTATTGGTTGTTTTTTAAGTTAAGCCTTTAGGCTATGTCTATACTGCGCTCTCTTGCACAAGAAAATATGCAAACAAGGCAAAGTGGTGAATATCGCCGTGCCTCATGTGCGTACTTAATGAGCTGCCATTTTTGCGCGAGGGGCTTTTGCGCAAAAAGGAGCCGTCTACACAGCTCCTTTTTGCACAAAAACCCCTCTTACGCAAGAGTCGTTCTTTAGACGGCTCCTTTTTGCGCAAAAGCCCCTTGTGCAAAATGGTAGCTAATTAAGTATGCAAATGAGGTGCAGCAATATTTACCGCTTCACCTCATTTGCATATGTTCTACATGTTTTGTTAATTTTTAATGTACTACCAGACTTTTTGTTGTTTTTTAAGCTTATCCTGTACAGACTAACTCGGCTACCCCCTCTGAAACTAACAGCTTAGCAATCGAAAAGTGACCTTATGGAAAACCTGCTTCCATTTTTCTTAGCTGTGGCGGGAGTGGAGGACTGGAGTATCCCTGAAATCTTTCTGGTTTACTTCTGGAAGTAGATGTGATTTAGCTCATTCATTTTACAGTATAGCATCCCAGCTGGGTCTCTCAGCAGAGAGATTACCCAATGTGTCACTTGTACTGATACTGATTTTACAGTACGAGTTACCATTTCTTTTGTCCCCAAGAAGGGCAATGAACATAAAAACCGAACAAAAACGAAGGTGGGAAGTACATAAGTTATATAATGAGTGAGGGGCCATACAGAAACTTAATAATCCCCTCTGCTCTAAGTGTGTGCTTTGTGCTTTCAGGGGCTTGTGTGTTTATACTGGTGAGCTGTAGCTATTGTAATATTCACTTGAAGGCTAAATTAACTGATTGAATTAAAGTTAATTAGTAGTAATCAATAGAACATCTCCCAGTTCTTCATCTATGCACAGTATTCACCCAGTAACTCATTGACTATCCTGCTTTCAGATTCATTTTAGGCTGTTCCAAACCAAAAATCATGTTTTCTGTGCATCTCACATTTCTGTTTTATTCTAGATGGAGGTAACTGGGATCTTGTTGCCTTCCTCCCATGCTTAGTAGCAAACCCTGCTACAAAATGCTTTCCAGAAGCTTGTGGATAGTCTAATATGGGCCCCCTGCATCTCTCCTGTTGAAGCTGTTCCATGTTGGTTAACTACTTAACATTGTGACTAACCTGGTGTCTACATCTCTTAGCTCTTCCAGTGACTGGGAATACAAAGTCTTTGGTCCTGGGGCATGTGGTGAAACATTGGACAGACCTGGAGGAGTAGCCTCTCAATGGATTTAACTACGTAAGCTCTGTTTGTTTAACATTTGTGATCTGGCTGGGAGGAAAGAGCCAAAGAGTTTTGTGTCCTGCAAGAAACAAGGTGTTTTTAAAACCAATTGGAAACAAGATTAGGCAAAAAATTCACAAAAGGAATTATCTGTTGCACTGACTTTATGAATGACTTGTTCTTGTGCTGTTTCTTCTGTCCATAGGTAAAGACCTACTTATAGTTGGTATTTATGAGATACACAATTTTAGCGTAACTGTTTAAAAGTAGGATAAGAGACCTCTTTTTCATCTGAATCCGACAATAACTCATTGATTCCAAGAGGGCCTTTGTCCTGTAATTATTTAGTACACAATTTAATGTCATTAAACATCTTTGAGTGGACAGAATTGCTCTAAAAGCCTTAGCTCCAGAGCTCTAATATTAGTCTTTTGGCATCCATCCCTGTGTGTGAAAAGCAGTCAGTTTGTTTACCAGGAATTCAGACTCACATTACAGGGGGAATTAGCAGCAAGCTATTAGTCTGATTCAAGCACTTAACAATTACTGATCATCTCCTCCTAGTCTATGGGTAATGGAGGTGATCAGCTGCAAATGGAAAGGATGTGGGGCTATTTTCTTGCAAGCATTGGGGACAAAGCACTGTACAATGCGACCTCTGCTAACCCTGGGGTTTGCAAAAAACCCAAACAGCAACTCACTTCCTGGAGTAGTAGAACTAATAACCTATAAGAAGAGATTCCATTAGAGACAAAACTAAGCTCAGACTCAACAGAGTCTATCAATTGAACAAAAGTTCCACCACTGAGTCCCAGAGGCAGAAATAATTAGCTACTGATTATATTTACCACTCTCTGCTTCCGCATGGAAAGTAAGAGCAGGATAGCAGCTCTTCATTCTTCTGCAGAAATGTTGACTGATCCCTTCAGAGTCTAACTATGGGGTGACCACTTTGGCCCAGAGCTTCAAATGTATTTAGGTTCCTAATTTTCAGGGATTTCATTGGAAATTTGGCACCTAAATACCTTTGAGGAACCTGGCCTCTGTTCCTTGAGCAGTCATCTTCAAAGGGCTATTCTCAGAATACTCAGACTCTGCAGCAATTACTCTGAAAGATCCCGTCCTGTCCAGCAGCTTTGTAATGCTTGTTATTTTTAGGTTGTGCTTGTGAGGGAGGCTCTTCATCTCTCCCCAGAATCTTAAAGCTGTAGCGTTATCCCACCGGTCTCAAATTCTGACACTGGGTATGTCTACAGTACAGAGGGTTTTTTTTTGGAAAAATAGCTGTTTTTCCAAAAAAACTTCAATTACATCCACACTGGAATTGTGGTCTTTCGAAAGAAAATTGAAAGAACAGAGGGGGTTTTCCCTCATTGGTAATCCTCTTTCGGAATAAGGTGTGTGTGGATGGGGAAGAGGGAGTTCTTTCGGAAGAAGAGGAAAAAGCACAGGTGCCCTGCCCTGGTGGCCACTCCGTCCATAGTAATCACAGTTTAAGTACGAGAGAGCATCCATTCAGTGTGGATGCTATCTTTCGAAAAAGCAGATCACTTTTTCTATGCGCATTGGTAGCGTGAACATGCTCTTTCAGAAGTTTTTTCAGAAGATCTCTTCTGGAAAAAACCTGCAGTCTAGACATAGCTGCTGTCAGCATGTTTCAAGTGTGGGGAACATAAAAATCAGGATTTTTTGTCTGAACTGAAGTTTAGCATCAGTTGCTTTTTCCTATCTGCATGATGTTGATCCTGGCAGTTGTGTAAAGAGAAATTTCAGTCACATATAGCTTGCTTTGTTACTCCTGTGTGATCAAGTGGATTGAGTACAGGGTTAATAGTCTAGGACTTCCAAATTGCAGACCATCTCTGGCACCAACCCATTGTATGGTTAATGTCTCTGTTTCCTCACCTTTTAAAATTGGAACAATGACTTACCTAACCCCCAGAGGGATTGTGTGGCATACTGGATCTGAAGAGACATGTAAACTCTTTAAATACATTTTCAATTAATCTACATTAAGGGAATTTTTAAACAGCTTTTAGAAATCTCTGGTAATCTTTCATCTCCATGACTGATGCTGTGGTGGCGCTCAGTGAGAGTTGCCATTGCCCTGAGACTCCCTGGAAGGAGCTCCTGCTTGATGCTGTTCTGTTTTTTAGGTTCCTTTATCACCATCATCCCCGTGGCACCTGAGCAGAGCAGGACATAGGAAATGAATGCAACAGAAAGCAACAGTCTTTCAGAGTCGGAAGGTAACATTTATTCTTTACTATAGATATTTTGGGTTTATCTTACATTTTAAAAAAGTAATAGAATTTATATTACAACATAAAGCTTCCTCTTTTCTCTGCATTTGATGGAACCCTGTGCTAAGACTGTCATAATGGAGAGTTTCTATTAAATTATTTGTTATTCTTGGAATTATATTTAAGACACTATAGTATCGTTAGTGATCTCTGTTGCACCAACTTTTTCATTTAAGTAGGAGTCACTGAGGCTCCATCTACACTGCAGGCTTCTTACACAAGAAGTTTTTTGCGGCTACCAGGGCACCTGTGCTTCTTCGATAGGGTGTTTTTCCACACACAAAAAACCCTGCTGCCCGTACACACACACCTTTTTGCACAATAACTCTTGTGCAAAAAGGAGTTATTTCTTGTAGAAAGAGGAATACCTACATGGCAAAAACCCTCTGTTCTGTTGATTCACTGTACATTTTCTTGTGCAAAAACGCGCTTGAGGTGTGGACTCTCTGCAAGTTTTTGCACAAAAAACAACCATTTTTGTGCAAAAACTCTGCAGTGTAGACGTAGCCTGAGTTGTAATAAGACCGTATGTAATCAGGAGGTCTGGGTTTATGCCATTGACATCAGAACTATCAGGAGTCAATCTCATGTGTCTCACTGCAGCTTCTACTGAAATAAGAAGCTCCTGGGACATTCTGTCTCTCTGAAGTGGTGAAGCAGTGGGTGAATCGGAGTAGCTGATGAAATGCATTATGTAAGAAACATTTACTCGACAGCCCTGAAAATAAATCTCAATTCCTCGCATCACTAAGGGAGCTGCATTGCATGTGTCTCCTTTGCAGGAGGAAGACAGTCTTTAAGGCTCCATTCAAAATTTGTCTGCATGATGGAAATTCTGCAAAAATTTCTCATGGGTGTTAACAGAGCAGTTCAGCATCACTATTGTTCGCAATGTTAGGAAACCTAAAGCAGATAATCTTTTGAGCCCTAGCACAATAGGGTCCTCAGATGTTACTGGAATACAAATAATACATAAGTCCCTTTTCTTCTTACTTTGGAGTCTTCCTTCAAATAACAGTTTAAAATTATTCGGGATCCAAACTTGGATGGTTTCCATCACTGTGTGTGGCAGTACGCAACAGCTGCCTGTGTGTCACTGCACAGGTGTGTGTCTTATGAGGAGAGGCATGTAGTTGTGGAAGCAAGAATGGGATTGTAGGCAGGAGCAGTTATGCAAATAGCTCTGTATACGAGTGGATGTGAGTCTACAGGTGTGTAGAGAAGTAGGGTTGTGTGCTTACAAGCAGGTGAAGAGTGTGTGAGAGGCAGGGGTGTGTATGAAAGTAAATACAAGGAGAGGGAAGATTGAAGCAAAAAACTCCAGTTGGGATTTCTCTATATTTCTGATTGAAGCAGGATTTATTTAACTTCAAAGGACCTGTCTCAGTGTGAGCTCAGCATTGGCCTTCGATGTTCAGGACATGAAGTTGCAGTCTCAGTCAGCGAGTCAGACACTGGAGATGGAAGGCTGGAGTCTCAGTGACAAATTGGATGTAATAAAATTACAACTGTGTTTATAGAACACTAGAACTGGAAGGGACTTCAAGAGGTTATCAAGGTCAGTCTCCTGCCCTCATGGCAGGACCAAGCACCATCTAGACCATCCCTAATAGATGCCTATTTAATCTGCTCTTAAATATCTCCAGTGATGGAGATTCCACAACCTTAGGTTGGCTCTAAGGTGCCCCAGATCAAACAAATCACCTGCCTTTGAGAGCACAATGTCTGTGGGCAGAGGAGGGAGGTTGAATTGGGAAAGCATGTAGGTCTAGATCCGGTCTTTTCAGGCTTCAGTGCACTGTGACCCCCTTCTCACAACAAACAAATATTACTGCACAATGCCAGGAGTGGTACTGAAACTTGAGCCCTACCGCCACAGGCTGAAACCAGAGCCCCACGGCCCTGGTGGGCAGGAGGCAAAGCCAAAGCCCAGGGCTTAACCAAAGGCAGAGACCTGTAACATGAGCCCCACCTCCTAGGGCTGAAGCCTAGACCAATGCAAGACTAACACCAGCCCTGACAAACCCATGAAAACAGGATCTGTGGGGTCCCAGCCCACAGTCTGAGAATTAGTTGGCTAGATCTGCAGGGTGATTTATTACCTAACTCCCACTGATTTAGGTACTTACATATCGCTGAGGGTCCTGCCCACAATACTGAGGAGAGAGGAGGCTGACTACCGTAGGGAGCACATCATGTTGTGGCTGGAAAAATGATAGGAGTACTCTGGGAACATTGCACAGGGGCTTGCCATCCCATCCTTCCTCTGGACTCCATGCACCTGTGGGACACTGGGAAGGCAACCTCTTCTCCTCCCACCACCTATCTCTGGAAATGGCAATTCCTGCTATATTGTAGTAAGGATGTTTGGGGAACTGCCAGCCCCTGCATATCAGTGTCTGACTAGTGCACAGCAAAGGGAGCCCAGGAAGGCCTATAATATGGTCTTCCTCAGCTTGATTATGGAGGTGCAGGAAGCACATAATGGCCATGCTCCCTCGTAATCCAAGCAGCCAGATGCCAGTGCAAGGGGACATCTTGTCATCTGTAGATCAGCCCTCTCTGCTAATGGTGGCAGTGACTGTGACTGTGACCTGTGGAAATTAGGTGCAGCCCCTCTGCTGGGCAAGGTGGTGTCCCTGCTTCTTGCAGCAGCAGGGAGAAAGTGATGCCTCAGTGAGTAGTGCATAGAGAAGATTAGGATTCAACGTGAAGGCAGCTCAGAGGTGCAGGGGTGAGACGCAATTTGTGCATCCACAGAGATGAGGGATACTGTGGTATTCAGGAATCCTTCCCGAGGGACAGGAAGGAATGGAACACAGGGATCAGCAGAAAGAGCTGACTACTGCACAGACATTCCAGGAGCTACATTTGCCCAGCTACATTGTATCTTCCAAAGCCACACACCACCTGTGTGCAGAGGAGCTGCTCCCAGCTGCCTGCCTGCTCTCCTGAAAACATAAGCTTCCCTGATAAGGCAGCTCTTTCCTACAATTGATTGTGGACTATTAACCTGCACTCAGAAGTCAATATTCACTTTTAACACCACCTGTTTACAGGCAATCACAGCACAACAGAATAGCAGTTACACAACACCGTTTACACCCAGGATCAAGAGGTCATAAAACTGAACCTGACAAAGAGGAGGGAGACTGAAAGGAGTAAAGGGGTATGTGAAGGGATGCAAGGTCACTGTAGACCACCTGAGGTCTGCTCTGCAGATCAGCACACGTTATCCCTAGAGAGCTGGAGTGGCTACAACTGAATGGCCTGCATGCATTCTCCTTGAAGTCCTAGAAAAGCATGGTCTCGCCAGGCTGTGTCCCAATATGCTGGACAAGGTTTAATGAGGCTGAGTGAAGAAATGGCGCTGAACTCCAAGACTAAATCTCTTGCTAGCATGGAGAGTGGACCATATGGCTGGCTGAAAGAGACAAGAAACAAGAGCAGAGGCCAGCGTCCTTGCTTAGGCTCAGGATGGTTTTCTTTATAGGCTTAAATTAATGGATTTGAAAATGATTAAAAGGGTCCTGAACAGAATCCCAAGCCTGTATTTACAGAGGCGTTTGCACGTGGATTTGCCCTACTCTGCTCTTAGGACACCATAGAATTAGGTGTCTACTGCTGGAGCACCAGTTTGCTTCTTCCTGCTCTAGAGGAAGAGCACCAATCGGCCAGCTGGAGCTATGCTGCAGGTACCTGTGGGCACCTCTCCTCCTTCATTCAAAAGTTAAGTGCTGTTTGCACAGAATTGTAACTATCTTTGTTTTAAAAACAAATACACACACACACACACACACACACACAAACACAAACACATTAGTGCCCTCAAGTCTCCCAGCTGGCTGCTTTTCCTCTTGCGGTGGGAGGCATGCGGGGAGGGGCTAGTGTTAGCCCCTGCAGTGCTAATGAAATGACTCTCTCCTAGGAGAAGAACGCAGGCCTTCCTGTTCTGGGGGAGACTGTTTGGTTCCTCTTCTCTGCAGGTCCCAAGGGTGAGATAGTAGAACAGCGTCTGGGTGCAGAGTAAGGAGAATTATGCGGGAGACAAATGCCAGTTGTGTCAAGTTAAGGTGGGCTGAGCAGGAGTAGCAGCAGCAGCAGGGCCATTGGGGGCCAGGAAACCCCAGCTCCAGAATACACAGAGGAGGTCATGGGCATGCTGTTGTGTTCTGAGGTGTCTGGCCATATCTTTGTCTCCACGATCTGGGAAGGGAAAGGAAGAAATTAATTCAGCTAGGACCATGTTCACTCAGCCCCTGGCTGTAGTGTCTCTTACCCCTACACTCTGACCCCTCTGCAAATGGATGGAACAGATGTGAGAAGGGGGTATGTTTCCTAGGCTTTGATATGTACCAACTCCCTCCTGAAGATTCCCAGAGCCTGGGAATAAATTGTCTAGGTAGGTTGTGGATTGAAGAGCAGGTTAGATAAACATCTATTGGGGATGATCTAGATCAGGGGTGTCCAAACTTTTTTCAAAGAGGGCCAGATTTGATGAAGTGAACATGCGTGAGGGCCGACCATTTTGCCTGACATTCTTTGAACCATTAAAATTAAATGCAAATTAACTATTTTATGCAAAGTTTATTGCAAACGGCATACTTTTCATTTCGTCACATGGGTGACAAATCTAAACAGGTGTTAAATCACTCTGCCTTTCATATCTGAAGGCCAGATGAAAAAAAAAATCCAGGAAGCTGAAATATATGTCAGGAACATTGTAAAGTACATTACATATTATTGGTAATAAAGGGTGTCTGTCAACTTTTAAGTTCAAAAAATATGAACAGGAACATAACACCAAGTATACATGTTGTGTCCAAATATATTTATAACTGATTTAGACCAACTGACATTAACTGAGATTTTACAATGTATTCATCTCAATACATATGGATTCGTTGGGGGCCATAAAAGATAGATATTGCCAAATTACCTGGGGGGCCGTATTAAACCGGAACACGGGCCGCAATTGGCCCGCGGCCGGACTTTGGACATGCCTGATCTAGATGGTGCTTGGTCCTGCTGTTAAGTGCAGAGGACTGGACTTGACCTCTCGAGGTCCCTTCCAGTTCTAGTATTCTGTGAGTCTATGATTCTATGTTTCAAGATCCTGAGTTTCTCTGATGTCAGTCACTTTCTCTAGGCCACTTTACTAGCAGCTTTACAAAAGTAGAAAAGAGATTCATACCTGGAACATTTTTGAAGCAGGAGACATGTTGGTGCTGTTCCCCTGGAAGCTCAGGGAGGGCGTATAAGATATTTCTTCCTGCCCCTCCGGAACTGCTTGGCTTAGATTCATCTGAGACTGAACTGAGTTTTCTGCAGGTAGAAGTCAAACAAATGTCTCGGGCAGTGGTTTTCAAACTTTTTTTCTCATGATCCAGTTGAAAAAAATGGTTGATGCCTGTGTCCCAACATAATTTGACTAGAGTGTAGGGTCTGGGGTGGGGCTGAGGATGGGAGCATTGGAATGTAGGAGGGGGCTCCAGCTTTGGGGGGATCAGGGCTAGGGCAGGAGGAACTTATCTTGAGCAGCTCCAAGACAGCCATGCAGTGGGGAGGCTATAGCAGGTTTCCTGTCCTCCTGTCCAGGCTGTACCCGAGAAGCAGCCAGCAGTGGGTTCCCAGCCAATGGGAGTGCTGTGCTAGTGCTTGGGGCAGGAGCAGTGCATGGAGACCTGTGCACTCCCCCGCCCCTCTAGGAGCTAGACCTGCTTCCAGCCACTTCTAGGGCACAGCACAGTCTGTGGTGCCAGGACAAGTCTTAGTCCCCCTTCCCCTCCTCCCCTCTGGTCACCTGACCATCCTGCAGCAAAGAGACCCAGTGCCTGACAGTCCACAACCCAGTACTGGTCTAAGGTGCTTTCCTCCTTTGCTTGGAATATAGGCTGTGTTGGGGCCTGTCAGGGTGATTTTGCTTTGGGTAGTGTAAATGACGTATGCAGTGGCATATCACAGGGGGACAGCGAATGTGCGGCTGGATAAAACACCACAGAACAGACTACAGGGACCAATCTCAGGGCATAGCTAGACTACAAATTTTTTTTCAGAAAAAGGTACATAAAATGCACTCTGCATTTTGCATACCTTTTTCCGATTCTTTTGTTGGAAGAGGCTTTTCTGACATTTGGCCTGTCTAGACTGGGCCAAAAGTCAGGAAAAAACCCTCTTTTAGAAGCCCCCTTCTTCTTTGTAGAATGAGGAATACAGGGGCTTCCGAAAGAGCGCACTTCCTCTTCTGCAAAAAAAAAGCGGAAGAGCAAACGCGTTCCCTGGATGTAGCGACGTTTTTTCGGGATACCTCTGGTATCCCGCAACCCCCCACCAGTCTAGCTGTACCATCCCCACCGGGATACAGTGGATTGGCCTAAATGGGGGATTTCCACTTCTACATTGTGTCACCTGAAGAGTGAGTGTCTGAGTTAGCATGCATCTGAGGTAGGCACTGTCTGTGGGCTGGGGGGTGAGATTTTTGCTCTACACTATTATGTAAATAGAAAAGACATAAACATTAAACCATCCTGTAGGGATGTTCATTTCTTTAGTTGATGCCCTTTGAAAGCTTTCGTAGTCCCAAAATATATGATCTTAACAAAACCCATTGCAGAGGTGGACGAAGGGAATAGGGGCTCTGGACACAGCTGGATTTACCCAGGCTCGGGCAACAGGATTTGAGAGCTATTGCTGAGCTGCTGGCCCGTGACATGGTCTATCCAGGCTGTGGTGGGTCAAAAAAATGTTTATTTTCTGCGCACCCAGAACTGTATTGTCTCACAGAGACACCAGGAATTCCAGGCTCTACCCAGCAAATGAGGATCTGAGGCAAGGGGAGATGAGGAAGGAAAGATGATGGTGGTGAGAATGATTGTGTAGTTATTCAGTAAGCTGCGGATACCAGTGTGATACTGGTTTCTTCTCTCCTACCTCCACACTTCTTCTGAGTGGGACTGCAAAAGTGAGTTTCTGAGTGGGGTTGAATGGGGCCAGAACAATGACTTTCTGGTCAGATCTCGGCAAATGGTGTAATGTGGAAGAAAGGTCAGAGATGCCTGTAGGAGCAGAGAAGGGGAGTCTCTAGTCTGGCACTAGAATCACAGAACACTAGAACTGGAAGGGACCTTGACAGATCATCAAGTCCAGTCCCCTGCCCTCACAGCAGGACCAAGCACAGTCTATATCATCCCTGACAGGTGTCTGTCTAACCTGCTCTTAAATATCTCCAGAGGAGGAGATTCCACAACGTCCCTGGGCAATTTATTCCAGTGTTTGACCACCCTGACAGGTAGGACGTTTTTCCTAATGTCCAACCTAAACCTCCCTTGCTGCAGTTTAAGCCCATTGCTTCTTGTCCTGTCCTCAGAGGCCAGGGAGAACAATTTCCTCCCCTCCTCCCTGTGACACACTTTTAGATACTAGTGGTGGAGTAGAGAGGGTAGAGAAATGCCAAAGCAGAGCAGGGCTGGAGCTGTAGGCAGGGACTGTGTGGTGTCAGGCCTGGAAAGCAAGAAGAGGTTTGAACTGAATTATGCTGTGACCCATGTTGCTTGTGTGGCACTTACTGAGACATTGATTGCTGATGAACATGCTGTGTATCTGGTCACACTCCTCCCGCTGGTTGCCACTGTTCTCACAGGTGCACCACAGCGAAACCTCCGTGCTGGAGTTCCCAACATAGTTTGGTGTCATGGCTGTACCTGTTCCCAAGAAAAGAGAATCAGGATTTGTTTATGCCTCCAATCAGGGCACCACACCATGGCCTTCACACTTATGCTTCATCTCTGCTCTGGGTTTCTAGAGTCCTCTAGACAAGCTGAAGGCTAGGGAGGCCCATCCTTTGGGCCGTTTCTGTGTACTGGAACTAAATGGTATTTGCATGTCTTACTGCCATTGTATCACAGATTGTTATTAGCCCTAAGGGCACTGAGGCACCTGCAGAGCTGGGGGCAGAGAGCACTCTGCTCTGAGGTGCATTCTGTCTGGGGCACGTGAGGTGTTCGAGGACTCGGGTGCAGGAGAGGCAGGGAACCTGCTGCCCTGGGGTCACTCTGCCCAGAGAGGGAAGGGACATTGCCAAAGAGTGGGAGAGGGGCCAGGGAGCCAGTGTACCCCACCCAAGTGGCCCTAACATTGAAGCACACTGATTACTGCCTAAAGGAAGAAAGCCAGAAGTGGAAAGGTGGGTAGCGAGTGCAGAGTGGCATGTGTCAGTAATTGGCTCTTCCACCATTACTTCCAGTTTCCTCTGCCAACAAACTGACTGCCTATGGCCTGTTCCCAGGCACGCACTATGCAGCTGCAGCCTGACCGTGAGATACAGTTCAGCTGCCTTGTTCTCACAGTGGAGACTTTACAAGGACATGGGGATAGTGTGGAAATGCAACTCAGGAGCCCACTCGCTCGTGGCCTGTACAGCTTCACTGCAGATTCATGTCTACTGCAGCTTCCCAGGAAGCCACGCTGGGGATATGTGATGGGGGACAGCTGAAATCCCTTGAATTCAGCAGTACCCTCAAGAAGGCTTTTGCTGAACACGTCACTAATAGTGGCTTAGCAGGGCTCAGACAACCAAACCATGAGAGAATACAGGGCTTAAGGTGCCAGTAACCAAGGACCCTGAGAATGGAGGTTCATGTGGATAGGAAAAGGATAAAAGTCTGTAAAATACCCATTAGCTGGAGTGACGGGAGTGGTTCTATCATGCAGGTGAGCAGGCCTCTGCGGCTCACGCACTGCAGAGAGGGCGCCTTTGTAAGAAGCAAAATAGATTTGGTGTCTAGAGACATGAGGGCGATGCTGCTGTCTTGTCACTGGAGGGAGAACTGGAGAATATGTAGTCTGTAGCCTTGTGGATGGCATATATGTTGTGAATGCTGAGTTCCTCTTTAGTTTCTGCCTGTACCGGGTCAGGGCAAATACCAACATAGGTCAGGCTCACGTGTTTTCAACACCGTGATCTCAAGCTCAGATAAGAGCAGGGCTCTATCCTTGCTGGTTCTCAGCTCTGTACACCTTCAGGCATGCTTTCTTCTCTCTCCCCCCAGCGCTATGCATGTCCAAGAACATGCTCTTCATCAAGCCTTCTTGTGTCTCCCTCTGGTCCCCACTTACCAATCATCCCCATGTAAGCTTGCAGGCATGCAGCATGGTTGTGCTGAGCACAGCCATCTGGGGACATGGCTGCAGGCTGACAGTTCTGTTGGAAATCAGCCAGTTGGGATCTGTAGGAAGAAGAAGAGCATCAGAGTCAAGATTGCTCTTTTCACTGGGCTAATGCCCCTTGTGCCAGACCTACCTGCAGATAGGGTCTTTGCGACAGGAGTCCAAGAGGAGGAGGCAGTTGGGTTTGATGCTGTTCTGGAAGGAGCACTCAGGGACAATGGTTTTCCGGCGGCGCTCTCCACAGAACTCATCTTGACATGGACAGAACAGGAGCCTCTTGGTGAAACTCTCAGGGACCTTCTTAAAGAAATGTCGTAGTGTTTGGCGGCATTTACGTTGGTCACAGGTGCCTCCAGACTCTGCCCCCTTCGTGCAGTTGGAGGCATAGTCTGTGCGCAGACGGGCACATTTGCTATTCAGACTGCAGACGTGAGTTGCTTTCAGGCAGGGATTTTCACTGCTCCTTGCTAAATGAGAACCTGAAAAGCCAACAGAAACCCAGGGACAGTAAATCTCAGAGATTTCAAGTGGGAGCAAGAGGAGCTGCAGGCTCCGGCAGCCCCTGGGAGCTGGGCAAAGGGAAGCTTCCATCCTGTTACTCTGTGATTCAGTGATCACTCACCAGGGATTCTTGGGAAAATGGAGGGGCATGTGGCCAGCTGACTCTGCCCAGTGTTGGTGTGATTAGGGCCTTGTCCCAACTAGGGATGTTAAATATTGATTAATTAAATAGTCAATTAACCTTGAGAATCCTTATCGGTTACTGAATTATTCTATAGCCCCTGGGTGCAGGGCCGGCAGGCACCCCTGCCACTCCACGCTGTTGCCTCTGAGTCAGAGATGCAATTTAAAAAACAGCTCCCCTCTCAGGCTACATCTAGACTACAGGGTTTTTGTGGGATACTGGAGCCCCTGTCTGGAGGGGGTCTGAGCTCCTGGACCAGAAGTTATTGATGTATCTGTGATGAGACTGATTTAATTCCATTATTTAAACAAATAAAAAATAGCTCAATGAAATAATCCCATATTCTTGCGTGCATGCACACATACATTCCTTTTAAGGAGAGCAATGAAAGAGATGTTTGATGTAAAAAATTAAACTGAATGGCGCACATGCTGGTTTCTACCACTCACTTTCTGGCTATTGACTAGAAAAAATTATGAACCCTCATAAGTAACTTACATTGTACAATTATCTCTCTGGTCATAAATATTCCTAATGGTTTTTGTTTAAGATTGCAAATGAGAGGGCAACTCAGGGAACCCTATGCATAAGAACATGAGAACGGTGATACTGGGTCAGGCCAAAGGTCGACCTAGCCCAATGCCCTGTCTTCCAACAGTGGCCAATGCCAGGTGCCCCAGAGGGAATTAACAGAACAGGGAATCATCAAGTGATCCATCCCATTGCCCATTCCCACTCCTGGCAAACGTAGGCTAGGGACACCATCTCTGTCTATCCTGGCTAACAGCCATCAATGGGTCTACCCTTCAGGGTGTTGGCAGGTCATAGGAGGCAATAAATCAGTGGCAGGGGCTTTTTAAAATAATTTCCTTTTTTCATAGTTGGGATGTCTTATAGAGAAATTGATGTGCAAAAATATCAAAAGATATGGAAGATTTTTGGGGGGTCTAATAATGTTTTTTGGAATAAGTGGATATTGTCCAACCTTTGATTTACTAAACAGGCAAAAGGGAAATGAAAGTAATGGAGAAAAAGCCAATATTTATTGTACCTTAATAGTTTAATAAAATCTGGGTTATTTACATAATGGAAATTGTTAGACTTCTTTCCTGACTAGGTTTTTCTTGATGCATTCCACTCCTCTGACTGTCCCTCTGATCTCTCCTAACCTGTTACCTTTTAGATAGATCCCACTGTCTATAAGGGAAGCTACAGACCCCCTCCCCCATGCTTTCTGACATGCTGACACCATAAGCCCCCTTTGTCCATCAAAGGCTCTGTGGAGCCAATGTTCCACTGACCACTTTTAAAGATGTTGCCTCAAAACATTTTTCCACTCAACAATCGTCAATCCAGTAGGTAGCCCCTGAGAAAGGAAGTAAAAGGGGGAAATGTGCACCTGTCATGATCCCTACCTGAAACCAAAGCTTCCAGCTTGTTGTAGTCAATCTTCCAGGGTTCTTCTTTTGCTGGATCCTCATAAGGAGAAGACTCCAAATTGAAATAACCTAGGCAAGGGGAGGGACACATTCAGGGATGGTGGGGAAAGACACTGGAACCAGCTTCCCTTTTTAGAGAGACTTTCATGCACACACAAAACGTATCTGGCTGCACCCACAGAGCTGGAGTTCATCCAGAAACACAGCACTTTACACAAGAACCAGGGTGAGCCAGCAGGAGCCAGCCATGGCTCCAGACTTATCAGAGATACTAGTGTGTTACTAAGCAGCTTTGACGTGAGAGTCATTCATTGGCTTCACTGTGGCCAGGATTAGATCTAGGTTTCATTTGTTTCTTTTCCCATCTCAGCATGCGTGAGAAGATGTACACAGTTTCTTTAAAATATAGCAGGGAGCTGGGGAGAGAGGAGGTTAGGCAAAACTTTTGACAGTGAAGCAGAGAGACAGCAGCTTTCAGGATAACACTGTTTTTCCCCTTTTTAATTAATTCTGTGTTCACGGCAGGGGCAGAAGCAGCTTTCTTTAGTTCTTTAGGTTGCAGCCTAACCTCCCTTCTCCTCCTTCTCTAACTCTCTGAGGTCCTCTTGGTTAGCCAGGATCTCTATACCTAAGTCTCCAGCTCCAGAACTGGTTAATGGAAATAAACTCACCTCATGTCATATTTTTAAACCAAAAATGAAATCTGTGTCCAAGCTTTATTTGTTACATTCATTTCTTAAACATTCATTGTAAAGCACCAGTGATGTCTCTTTCCCAGGAAGTGGGATGAGTTGTGTCTGATGCTTTACAACGAAAGTTTAATGTGATTCTCCAGCAACCACATCTAGGGCTAGTGTGATCAGAGCTAGTATTTCCCATTGACCTCCTCTCCTGCCTTGCTGGGGTGTGGGTAACTGTAAGAAGAGTTGTGTAATTACTAGAGAACATAACGATTCCATCTCACCCTGTGTGAAGCCAGAGTGAACAGTCCAGTAGATGTGCAGGCAGTGCTTCTGTCTCCTCATGCGTCGGCGACACTTGCAGTGCAGTAAAGAGCTACTTCTGAGGTCTAGCTCTGCATCCAGGCACCTTGCTCTGGTGTGAGGCTTCAGAGGGAGGAAAGATGTCTTATCAAAGGAGCAGTTTTCCAGGGCCTGATAGGTGGCACTGCAAACAGGGTCTGACAGGCAAACCTCCTCAGCTGCTATGCAGTCCTTTGGCAGAGCAAGAAGGCCTCCTGTTCAAGTAGGAAAACAATAGTAGGGCTTCATTCATGGAGAGACCCACACAACAATTGTTTTAGTACCATTACTGCAGGTTTTCTGTCATATCTCAGCAAAACCATCCATGTGAAGGCAGACATGGGAATGAGTATTTGATCTGCGTGAGATGGAATCTTCTGCTATTGCTATAGGACAAGTGGAGAACAAGCGCTCCCTCCCTTTAGAAAGGAAAGGGTAGCCATAAACAGGGACTCACACTGGTGCAAAGGGATAGCAAGTGGCTATCTAAAAAGTCATCTGCCATCTTTTTTTTTTTAAAACCCTCCTATGGGTGGCTTTCAGTCTTCCAAACCTGATCGGGATCAAGGCTGTTTGGTACTTACATAGATCCCCAAGGAAAACAGCCAGGAGGGAGCCAGGCTGTTCTCAGTGGTGACGGATGGCAGAACAAGGAGCAAAGCTCTCAAGTTTCAGTGAGGGAGATTTAGGTTGGATATTAGGAAAAGCTATTTTGCCACAAGAATGATAAAGCAGTAGAATGAGTTCCCTTGGGAGGTAAGGGAATCTCCACCCCTAAAGGTTTTTAAGACCCGTCTTGAAGTCTTGGCTGGGATGATTTAGTTGGGTTTGGGGTTTGCAAGGTGTTATACAGATTATACAGATTACTCAGTGTGATGAGTTCTCCTCTCTGAGTCAGTGCCCCAGCGTGGTATTTAGGAGTGCTTTGTGTCTGGGATTGGTGTGTAAAGGGTCCTCACCCCCTCTGAGTCTGTGCTGTCCCCACTGATTCAGCCTGGAACTAGGTATTAAGTGCTGCATTTAAAAATCTGTTTGCAGTACAGATTGAACCTGTGACACTTATGAACAATGCTACATATTCTTACAGTAATCAATGGGACCCTTAATATTAAAGAGAGATATATTGGTGTATATACATTTTAGTATAGAGCACTTGTAACGTATTTCTCTTCCTAATAATGGATGTTAATTGAAATTATTGAATTAACAATGTAGGAGTCTTTGAAACTTGTCAACTTTAGGGATCTTCCACTGGGAGGGTTATTATTTGAAGTCCCTCTACCTGTTAGTGTTTTTCTTCAGAGATTTGTGTGCAGGTTGATTAACTGGCATTGTATTTGCCACTTTCTCATGGTTACTAGTGGGTGAACTCATTACTCTATCATTGTCAGTTTCTATATATTCAGTTCCTGTATGTGATCTATGTGGGCCATCTCTTGAGGACAATTGTTTCTTGGTTGCTCTTAGAATACAATGGTTGTGGCAGGAGAGTTGTCCTTGTATTTCCACCATGTTTAAGCTTGTTGCTGCTCTTTGGATACCTGTGCTTGCCTTACATCTTGTCTCCATCTGTAGGTGTTCTGGGTGTACAGTCTGGAACTCAAGAAGGTATTTGGCACCTCTCATATTATTTGCTGTTGTAGAATCCTAGATTAGGATTGGGAGAGTGCTCAGAAGGAATCCAATCCTCTGTTCAAAATGGGACCAACTCCAACTAAATTATCACAGCCAGGGATTTAAGCTGGGCCTTAAAAACCTCTAAGGATGGAGATGTCATCACCTCCCCACATGACCAATTCAAGTGCTTCGCCATTCTTGTGGGGAAATAGTTTTTCCTGATCGCCAACCTAGACCTCCCAGATTGCAGCTTGAGACTATTGCTCCTTGTTCTGTCAAGGCCACTGAGTACAGTTTCTCTCCATCATCTTTGGAAACACCCCCTTCAGGTAATTGAAGGCTGCTATCAAATCCCTTCTCACTCTTCTCTTCTGCAGACCACATAAATCCAGTTCCCTCAACCTCTCCTCATAAGTCATGTACCCCAGCCCCCTAATCATTTTTTTTGCTCTCCATTGGACTCTCTCTAATTTGTCTACAACTTTTTTGTAGTGGGGTCCCAAAACTGGACACAATACTCCAGTTGTGGCCTCACCAGTGCTGAATAGAGGGGAATGATCACTTCCCTCAATCTGCTGGCAATTCTCCTACTAATGCAGCCCAAGGTATGTCTACACTGCAGAGTTTTTTCGGAAAAACGGCCATTTCTCCGAAAAAACTTCACTTACATCCACACTGCAATCATGGTCTTTCGAAAAACAATAGAAAGAACAGAAGGGGTTTTCTGACATTGGTAAACTGCTTTCTGTGAGGAAGAAGCCTTTTTCTGAAAGAGCTCTTTTAAAAAAAGACGTGTGGACAAAGAAGAGAGAGTTCTTTCGAAAGGAGAGGAAAGAGGAAAAAGCACAGGTGCCCTGGTGACCACTCCATCCATAGTAATCACAGCTTAAATGCGAGATAGTGTCCATTCAGTGTGGCCGCTATCTTTCGAAAAAGCACACTGATTCATCTCCAGCTTCTTGTCCACTGTAATCCCAGTCAGTTCCCAGCCTGTAGCAGTGTTTTGGATTCTTTCATGGCTCTGCACTTGTCCTTGTTGTACCTCATCAGGTTTCTTTTGGCCCAACCCTCCAGTTTGTGTAGGGCACCCTGGACCCCGTCCCTTTTAGAGATGTGAACGTTTAACTGGTTAACTGGTGAGGCTGATGGTTAAGGTTAACCAGTGAGAGCTGGAGCAAGTCCTCACCTGCCAGGGGACAGGAGCTGCTCTAGCCCTGTGGGAGGCCTCCTATGGATAGGAACTACTCTGGCTAGGCAGAAGCAGCCCCTGCTTGCTGGGCACTCTTGCCTGCCACAGGCAGGAGCTGCTTCAGCCTGGCCGATGCAGCCCATACCTGTGCGGAGGACCCACTCCCCTGCCTGTCCCCCCTTTAATTGGTTAACCAGTTAAACAATTCAACAGGATTTTACATCCCTAATTCTTACCCTTCAGTGTATCTACCTCTCTCCCCGGCTAAGTGTCATCCGTAAATTTGCTGAAGAGGCAATCCATCCCATCATCCAGATCATTAATGAAGATGTTGAACAAAACCAGCCCCAGGATGGACCTTTGGAGCACTCCACTCGATCCCAGCTGCCACCTAGACTTTAAGCTACTGCTGAGCCTGACACTCTAGGCAGCTTTCTATTCACTTTATAGTCTATTCAGGACTTGCCCTTAGTGTATCCACAAGACTGTTCCTGTTCATTTTCGTCTACTCCAAGGCTATGTCTACACTCACGGCTTCTTGTGCGAGTAATATGCAAATGAGGCTAAGTGTGGAATATCGCCACGCCTCATTTGCATACTTAATGAGCCACCATTTTTTTCAGAAGAGGCTCCTAGTCAGCCTCACCTCAATCCCCAGAAAAATCATGAATCAGGTCCTCAAGAAATCCATTCTGAAACACTTGGGCTATGTCTACACTCGCGGCTTCTTGCGCGAGTAATATGCAAATGAGGCTAAGTGTGGAATATTGTCGAGCCTCATTTGCATATCTAATGAGCCACCATTTATTTCAGAAGAGGCTCTTGCGCAAGAAGGAGCGTCTACACTGCCCCTTCTTGCTCAAGAAAAACCCTCTTGCGCAATGCCATTACACCTATTACTTTTCAGGAAGAACGACATTGCACAAGAGGGTTTTTCTTGTGCAAGAAGGGGCAGTGTAGACACTCCTTCTTGTGCAAGAGCCTCTTCTGAAAAAAATGGTGGCTCATTAAGTATGCAAATGAGGCGTGGCGATATTCCACACTTAGCCTCATTTGCATATTACTCGCGCAAGAAGCCGCGAGTGTAGACATAGCCCAAGTGTTTCAGAATGGATTTCTTGAGGACCTGATTCATGATTTTTCTGGGGATTGAGGTGAGGCTGACTGGTCTTATAGTTCCCTGGATTTTCCTTCTTTAAAGATGGGCACTACAATGGCCCTTTTCCAGTCATCTGGGACCACTCCCAACCCCCACAAGTTTTCAAAGATAATGGCCAATGGCTCTGCAATCACATCAGCCAACTGCCTCAGTAACCTCAGATGCATCAGGTCTAGTCCCATGGACTTGTGCATGCCCAGCTTTTCTATGTAGTTCTTAACTTGTTCTTCCTCCACTGAAGGCTGCTCACCTGTTCCCCAGCCTGTGCTGCCCAAGCAGTCTGGGAGCTGATCTTGTCAGTGAAGACAGAGGCAAAAAAAATATTGAGTAGTTCAGCTTTTCCCACATCATCTATCATTAGGTTGCCTTTCCCATTTAGTAAGGGTCTCACACTTTTCCTGACCTTCCTCTTATTGCTAACATACCTGCAGAAACCCTTCTTACCCTTCAGATCCCTTGCCAGCTGCAACTCCAATTGTGCTTTAGCCTGTCACCGCTGCTTAATTTGTTCTGTCACCAGTTTCCACTGTTGCTGGCTTCAAAAGTTTATTTGCTGTAGGCAGTAGAGTCTGTGTGCAGCATGACATGTGACGCTGTGTTGGACTTCTGCCCATGCCGTCTAATTTTTCCAGTAATGCTGCCCAGGAGTCTCTATCATTCTGGTATGCAGTGTTAGTAGTTTCTTGGCAATAGTGACAAATGATTGTGCTTTGCCATTAGCCTGGCAGTAATGTAGAGGAAATGTGATGTTATAAGCTCTTTGGTGCAATGACTGTCTCTCACTATATCTAGGTACCATGCCTAACACAATGGGCTTTGACTCTGTTTGGGTTCTCTAGGTATTACCATAATATCAGATCCAGATACTGTTGTAAACAACGCACATTCCCAACAACCAAATGGTTCCATTATCTGTAATGACTCCTGGAAGGTACAAGAAACCTCACACTAGGGAGGTATGGGGTATTATGTCTCCTATCGCCAAATAGCGAGACACTGGTTTAAATTCTGCAGTATGAGCTTTTATATTTCTTCTCTTTTTAATATATTTTTAAACTCTGGGCATTCTTGTGGTTTGTATAAATGTCCGGTGAAGTGATGTGAGTGACCTTCACTTTTGGGAGTCCTTGATTTTTATATAACTGAGGCAAAAACAATGATTAATCAAATGTTAGGACAAAAGGACAAACATTTTGTTCTCCTTCTCAGGGCCTCATTCCCCCTCCTGCTATGTGTTTTTGAAATTACAGACTGGTATTGTGATGCCACAAATGCCGCCATTCAGTCTTTACGCAAAGATTATGTTAAAGAAAACAACTGTTTGGTAGGCAAACCCCTTCTTTAATAAACTTAAAAAACAACAAATGGTCTCGTAGCATTTTATAGACTAACAAAACATGTAGATGATACCATCTACATATTGGCTATGTTTAGACTGGCATGATTTTCCGGAAATGCTTTTAACGGAAAAGTTTTCCGTTAAAAGCATTTTCGGAAAAGAGCGTGTAGATTGGCACGGACGCTTTTCCGCAAAAGCACTTTTTGGGGAAAAGCATCTGTGGCCAATCTAGACGCGCTTTTGCGCAAAAAAGCCCCGATCGCCATTTTCGCAATCGGGGCTTTTTTGCGCAAAACAAATCTCAGCTGTCTACACTGGCCCTTTTGTGCAAAAGGGACTTTTGCCCGAATGGGAGCAGCATAGTATTTCCGCAAAAAGCACTGATTTCTTACAGTAGGAAGTCAGTGCTTTTGCGGAAATTCAAGTGGCCAGTGTAGACAGCTGGCAAGTTTTTCCAGAAAAGTGGCTAATTTTCCAGAAAAACTGGCCAGTCTAGACACAGCCATTTTGTTAGTCTATAAAGTGCTACCAGACCATTTGTTGTTTTTTAAGTTTATCCTGTACAGACTAACTCAGCTATCCCCTGAAGCTTTCCTCCGTTAAGAAATACAAACACAGCTGAGAGTTGGGCCAAAGAGGGACAGAAATCAAAGGAACTGCATTGTAAGCATCATCAAAAATACAACAATTCATCTTTAATTCCAAATTACAGTTGCTGTTTTGGTCCCAGCATGTAAGAGACAAGGTGGCGGAGATCTTTTATTTTACCAACTTCTATGGGTCAGAGAGACAAGCTTTTGAGCTTACTCAGCTCTCTCACCAGCTGAAGTTGGTCTAATAAAGGACATTTCAAAATCATCCCTAGAGCTACCACTGCAGACAGGACTTGGGGGGGGAGGGGGGGGGGGAAAGCAGTAGAATGAAATGGGTTTTGTAATTCCTATATTTTCAACCATCTCAGCAATGCAAAGGCCGAAGAAAGTGGATTATCCTGGCTTTGCCATGATGGCGTGGGACATTAGCAAGCCTATTAATTGCAACAGTAGGCAAGAGAGCAGCAGTGAACAGCCTCTGCGCACACCTGCCACCCTGAGGTGAGGCCCTTTGATTGTGATTGTCCTTTAGTGACAGATTCCTGGGGACACTCACAGTCCCAAGCAGTGCAAGAAACCTGGGAGAAAAACACAAGTTGGCCACTGGGTTGGCTACCAGCTAAATCCATTGTGTGAGAGCATGTGGCACTAGCAGTGCTCTCCCATGGACTCCTGAAAAGAGGCTGCAGCCACCTTCTGTTGTCTCTGCTGAGCTGCCTCTTCCTCTCGCTTTGGCTATGGGATCCCTTTCCCTCAGCCCTGGCACATGGGGCTCAACTGGGGAAGGGGGGTCTTCCTACTTTGGGTAACTCCCAAATTGGGGAGTTGTTTGGATTCCAGGAACACAAACTTCCATAAAACCGGCGCTTAAGGTAATAACTGGACCTGAGGAAATCCAATGAATTTGTCTGGGCTCCAAAGAATGAGTCTCTTCTGAGCCTGGCTCTGTTCGTCAGAGGCTGGAGAAGGAAGGCAGGAGACAAATCGCTGATCATTGTCTTCGGTCCCCCCCCCGGGGCACCTGGCCACTGTGGGCAGACAGGATACTGGGCTAGATGGACCTTTGGTCTGACCCAGTACGGCCGTTCTTATATTCTTATGTACTTCGGGGCTGTTTGCAGCTCTTGACGCCTTCTGCTTTGGGGAAATTTATCAGCTGCTCAGCCTCCAAGTGAGTCTGTCGCTGCAGCAGCTCATTAAACTGGGGCAAAACCTGGAACATGCTCTGGGGCACCTGGCCCTGGGGAGGATGCTGGGCTAGATGGACCTTTGATCTGACCAGTGGTCTGGCCGCTTCTATATAAAACATTGTGCACTAGCTAGGTGTCCCCACCAGGACAAGGCGCCTTAGCAACAGCGGGGCTGAGGGCTAAGGGAAGCACTCTCCAGATACAGTAGCTTGCTGGGGCTTTGCTGTCCCGTCCCCTGGCCTTCCTGAGAGATGCTAGCTCCTCCCCGGGCGCCAGCTAACCACCCTCCTGCCCCGGCTCCAGCACAGAGCAATGCCGGGAACCATCCCGGGAACAAACTTCAGCTCAGATCTCTAAGCGCCGCCGCAGCTTGGGGAGCGCTGCGCCTTGGCCACACAAAGGAGCGGCCGCGGTTCCCTGCTGAAAATCGGCGTTGACCCGAGAGCCGGCTGGGACAATCCGAGTCCAGCCCTCACGGCTCTTTGGGCCCCTCCGGATCATACTGCTCCCGATCGCCCGCAGCCACGGCGGAGCCGGCTG